GACAGAGACGCTCACACGTACATCCAGGCAGCCATAGCCACGTGTACTTGACAGTATGAGACGAGAGCGCATTAGAAAACCGGGTATTAAACCTGGCTCCCAGAAATCTACGTTGACAGTCGAACTAAGAGAACTGTGCCTAGTGGAATAAGACACATCGCAAAGCTGTTCAAGGAAGGTCTAAAATCCTGGAGGGCGATTATTGAAACGACCCGATGAAACATCATGGCCTCGAACATCTGAAACGGTGTAAACAGGGATGGGTGTTCTCGGTACCCTGTTCACTCCGAAGGAACTACAGTATTTGCCGCGTAGCAATGGGGAAGCAACAAAATCAACCGTAAAAAGTTCCCGTGGGCGTTATATAAAGAACAACGGACCTTGCTATCCAATTAGATCAAACACTGAATCCACGTAAAATTCGGTGAGTATCAGAAAGGAGCAAGGCAGATCCTGTGTAATTGTGTTTTTCTATGAAAAAGATACAAAAGCTAACACTCAGCTAAATAACGGCGGTGGGGCTCATCGCTTACGATGGTCGGAGCGCCGGATCCAATAACTGAAATTAGGACGTAGATGTGGATCGAGTCTAACAATTACGTCGTCACAACGTCTACAGCAAACCCATTGCTGAACCTACCCTTCCTGTTTAGAAGTCTCTTATTTCACAGGATGAGCTTACGCCTAAACACCGACAGTGTGCTACGCTTAAGACCAGAACGGTCAAGGTTGAAAGTAACTTCTAGGTAATATCAACGACACCGGAGAAAAACATTACCGATGTCTTTATCACTCGGTGAGACACGAATAACTATTGGAATTCGACAGCACGATACTCCTAACCACTGAGATTGAGATTTCAATTATTCCGTGCGGCTCCTCTATCAGATAAATCCAAGTTTTTCAAGTCGCATCAACCATATGACCTTGTCCCTAATTTTACCCTACAGACGCATGCTACTTATCAAAGAGCAGTAACCAAATATTACATATGAAATAATTGCTATCGACGAGTGATGCGCATGACTATGACCATGATACCATTACCTATGATTAAGGATTCTCGATGGAATCCGAAACGTCAGGACAATAAGACTCTTGTTCCAGTGGTCGCACCTCATTCTGAACTACACTGTTTTGCGATGGGTTGGCGTTTTACCTTTTATCTGCCGTTAGTAGGGCTGTCCAAAGGGGAACCTTAATGAACAGGCCAAGTTAAATAAGTACAACACAGTTAGTAAAAGTCAACGATGGGATATTTTCGTGTTATCACAAAGGTGTGGTTAAGGTTACCTTCGACTGACGCACTACGTAGGACATGAGACGATTATTTTCCTCCTCCAAGCTCTTGATCCGAGCAGCAAAAGCGGCCTTTTCAGTCTCCAGTTCATTGTTTTTGGCCAGGGTAGTTTGAAGAGTGGCAGCGAGAGATTTCCTCTTTTCCATGGAAAGTTCTAAACGGCTTCTTACATTAGCAACCCAAGAAGCTGAATTAGTATGGTACACGGTTACAAATAAAATACAACAATGTACATCTTAGTAGGATGAACTTATAAGGCATAGCCCGGAGAACTAGTATAAAAAGACAGCATTTGGAAAAATCGGACGTAGAGATATATTCCATAAGAGTTGAATGCAGCATATAAACAGAGCTAAAGCTCTGTGGATTTATCAGCTTACTGGGTAGTACTCACAGCCTCTTCGAGGTATTTTTTCTGCTCAGTGAGGGAAGTCAGTTGGGATTCTAGATCCGACCTGCAGGTACAGCAAAAAAGCTCAATGGGGTTATTCGAAAGCACGGTATTAAAAAAATACTATTTTCCGCCAACGAACGCAGAACCTGTGAAAACGGGCATCACGATACAAAAACAGTTAGATACATCTAGGTGCGAAAAAGATCTCACTGCTTAACCTTCAATATTTCTGATGCAAGGTCAAGAGGGATTTGGGGGAAAATAGTAGTCCAAATTGCAGGGTAACTGTGTTAGGTTTTCAAGCCCCAATTACCTACCCGACAGTTATGTTGCCAATTTAGCAAATTGGTGTAAGTGTGTTAAAAGTACTCGAAGTAATCTACCCACTAGAGTAAAAAGAGGCCTCTGATTACCATGTATGGCCATGTGTATGTACCTGAAAAAAAATCAGCGGAGACATTCCATGCCTCCTGCCCGACCGCGTTCTTTGTTTATATCTCAGGGTGCCAATCACGGCTCACGATAGAAAAATCCTGTTTACTCAGCGTTGCAAATGTCATATACACTTAAATTACTGCACACTTCAGAAATACTCACTGATTTCCAACTTTCAGCGCCTGCATTATCCAATCTGGCCGCCTTGTTAACCGTTCTTTCGGAAGGTAAATTACAGCGCACAAACTTTAGCTAGGACGTAACCGTAACATATTGAAACTGCAAATGACAAATCATGGCTGATGGTGCACGGAGAAAACCAATCAAATGTTAGCTAGAAGTTCCGAGGAGTCAGGATTTTTATCACTTCGTTTAGTTACAATGGAAACCTAATTGACTGAGGCCTCTCGGAAGGTCAGGAGCTCTGCCAACTCGTTGGAAGTTTTGACACATTTCTTGTCGTGCTTCCTATAGGGAGGCCACATAGCTCGTCCTTTCGGCCAGCTAGAACCCACTATCGTCTCAATAATTGACCCACTACCTGGTGTTGAAGTGCTCCT